CCAATCCTACTTGAAAGACACCAAACACCTTTTTCAGGAGTTAGAGTCAATTGAATGGCATGAGAATTATATGTGGGCATCTTTAGACGTGAGCTCATTATATACAGTGATTGACCACCAATTTGGCCTACAAGCAGTTAAAGATAACCTAGATAGAGACACGTCTTTAGATCCAGCATTTGCAAGGTTCCTTTTAGAAGCCATTGAATTTATACTTACCCACAATTTCTTCATGTTCAATGATGAATACTTCCTGCAAATCAAGGGAACAGCCATGGGCACCAGGTTTGCCCCAAGTTATGCCAATATTTTTACGGACTTTTGGGAGCGTAGGTCCATTTGGGGTAACAATCCATATTGGTGCTCTGGCATCGTTATATAGACGACATCCTTGTCATCTGGAAGGGGTCTGAAGAACAACTACGTGATTTCTTTCGATATCTCAATAATAATGACCTCTCTTTGATTTTCAGTCCAGTAGTTAGTTCCACTTCTATTGATTTTTTGGATCTCACCATCTTCATAGAGGATTCTCAGATTCTTACTAAAACTTTTTTTCAAGCCCACTGACACCAATAGCTTTATTGAATAAAAAAGTGGACATCATCCGAGATGGTTGGCAGGGGTCCCTAAGAGCCAATATACCCGGCTCAGACGGAATTGTTCCAGTAAAAACACCTTTATAGCACAAGCCGAAATTCTAACCACCAAATTTGTAGAGAAGGGATATGAGAGATGACAACTGGATAGAGAGGTAAAAAGAATTGGAGATATCGAAAGAGGTGATCTTTTGTTGAATAAAGTAAAACCAACCAATAACTCAGATAGATCCTTTGAATTTGCATTCAACACACAATACAACTCTAAAACTTTTGCCATTAATAAAATATTTAAGAAACATTGGAATATTCTTAAACATGATGAATACATAGGACCACAACTTCCACAGTATCCTAATATTATTTATAGAAAAGGAAAGAACCTTTCGAGTTTTCTTGCCCCAAGTCTCTTCCAGAAGAAGATGAAACCCCATTATTCTAAGGGGTTTCATACTTGCGGAATGTGTAAAGCGTGTAGAGGTCAGCCTTTACACACATATTACTTTTCTAGTTTTGTTACAAAGGAGGAATTTAAGATCCAGGGACACGTTACATGTTCTTCCACACATGTTGTATATCTCCTCATGTGTGGATGCGGAGTGCAATATGTTGGGAGAACAGTGAGGAAGGCCAAGGTACGCTTCCTGGAACATAAGAACAATATACGGAACAAGTTGCTCAACCATTCTGTTCCAGTACACTGTAATCGTTGTCCACTCTTTGACACACATGTATTTTCCTGGGTGATTATTGAGCAGATATCACTTGGTGTGAGGGGAGGTGATATTGTTATGAGACTTAGACAGAGGGAGGGTTTTTGGATACATAAGCTTAAAACTCTTCAACTATTAGGGTTGAATGTAGATTTTGATTTAATTTGCTTTCTTTAATTTATTAATTTGATTTATTTTTATTTTCTTTCATATTTATTATTATTTTTTATTTTTTATTTTTTATTTTCAATTTTCAATTTATAGTTTAATTTTAATTTATTTTTATTTTCATTTTTAATTTTTTATAATTTTTTTTATAATTATTATTTATTATTTATTTATTTATTTATTTATTTATTATGTATTATTCATTATTATTTATTTTTATTTTTATTATTTTTATTTTTATTTTTATTTATTTTGATATTTATTTTTATTTGTATTTGTATTTTTATTTTTATTTTTATTATCCCTATTTGGGATTATAGCTTGTGATTCCATCAATTTCTCTCCCTCTGTTAATAGTTCTCAATGTATATTGATTTATGTGTGTTGATAAGTATTCATTAATGTGAAGTTATATCTGATGGATCTCATATGAAGTGTTTGGGTGCACTTTCGCTTGACCATTTATGCCTGTAGTACCCTCTCTCAGTATTTCCTTCCTTTTCCTCCGAGATCGCATGAAGTGGAACGCATATGCGTTCCACACGCTGAATGATGATGTCATCGCGGACCGCCGGCCGGACAGACGAGGCAACCAAGAACAGGTGATTCCGGCGTCCCTGATTGGGGGAACGAACGATAAGAAGACCTTTAAAAGGAACTCTGGACTTTGATACAATGTGATGCTTCATTTTATTTTTTGTTATTGTATTATCATATTTTATTGTATTTTAATTTATTTGCTCCTGAGGAAGTCTCCATTTGGGAGACGAAATGCGTTGAGCTACACATCAAAGCTTATTTTGTGTCTTTCATCCAGCTGAAATTGACTGATATAGAGACTTATTGATGAGCTTTTTTATCTTCTACTTTTTGTAAGTGCAAACAATTAAAGTGTCATTTAATATTTAAGCATTATTACACTATGTCCAGTTTTTTCCTTTCAATATGTACCCTGGGATTCTGAGGACGTTGGTGGCTGAATATTGAAAGACATTCTGATGGGCTTTTAACATTACAACATCTTGTGAGTGCAATATTTACTTAAAGGGGCCACATCTTTGATTTTATAGTGTTGCCCTATGAATTTTTCTCTGTCCTGATTTTTTAGGTTTATCTTATATTTTATATTCGCATTTTGAGGACCTTTGAGGAACCCTCTTGTTACTACCTGATTTATAAGGGAAGTGATAACCTTTATTGTAATTTTTTCTGCTGCACCTGGGTGGTCTACATTTATATACATTGTGTAAAATAAAATATATTTTCCCACTGCAGGTCTTATTGGTGGGGACACCTTGATTGATGTTGCTATGGGCCCCATGGTTCATCATCTGTTACCAATCTGCACACTTTTTAAAGACATCATTATATTAGAATTTAACGACGATTGTGTCAAGGAAATGGAAAAATGGCTCAACAGTGAAACAGAGGCTTTTGATTGGTCTCATGCATCACAATTTATAACAGAGTTGGGAGGCAACAGGTTATGTATATGTAAAATTTCCTGCAAACTTTTAACACTGTAAATCTCATATAAGCTATAACTACAAAGGAGAATATCTACTTTAAATATAAAATGTAAACTACAAATGTTTGATTTAGCTCATTAATACCTAAATTTTGCAAAGCAGATTTCTTTATTTGCTGAGCATCATGTGAGATTCTCATCATTTTTACAAAATTCTACAGTGCCAAAGACGACCGTCACTGACCTAGATATAACTAGGTCCAGACCCTATGAAAATGTATTGATTAATATATGTAATGAGCTCATACAGGGTTATTCATTTAATCCAGTGTTGTTATTATGCCCTATAATTTGAAATTGCCTTGGCATATACACTAATCAGCCACAATGTTACAGCCACTGACTTTGACTTGAATAAAATTGATTATATCATCACAATGGCATCTGTTAAGCAGCAAGTGAACAATCAGTTCTTGAATTTCTTGTATTGGAAGTAGGACAAATAGGCAAGTGAAAATATCTGAAAGACTTTGAGAAAAGACAAATAGTGATGATTAGACAACTGGGTCAGAGCACCTCCAAAACGGCAAGTCTTGTGGTGTTGTCCCGGTAAAAGGTGGTTAGTACCTACTAAAACTGACACAAGGAAGGACATCCGGTGAACTGACATCAGGGTCTTGGGTGCCCAAGGCTCATTGATGCATGTGGGGATTGAAGGCCAGCCTGTCTGGTCCGATCACACTAAATCGGATGAAATTGCTGATAAACATAATGCAGACCATAATAGAAAGATGTCAGAACACACAGTGCATCACAGTTTGCTGAGTATGGGGCTGTGTAGCCACAGACCCATGATGATCCCTCTCCTCAATCGAAAGTGCCTTTAATGAATACATAAGCATCAGAACTGGACCAAGAATGGTTGGCTGGTGTGAAGAATCATGTTTTCTTTTGGATCAGATGGATGGCCAAGTGAGCATGTGTCATTTACCTGGGAAAAGATGGCAGCAGGATGCACTATCAGAAGAAGGCTGGCAGGCCAGAAGAGGTTGTGTTATGCTCTGGCAACGTTCCTGGTCCTGGCATTCAGATTACTTTGCCACATACCACCTACCCAGAGATTGTTGAACAGTACGTAAAACCCTTCAAGGAAATGGTGTTCCCTGATTGCAGTGTCCTCTTTCAGCAGGATAATGTGTGTGGTGCTAGATATCCAGACACACCCTTCATCTTTCCAGTCTTTGTGTGTAAGAGCTTTTTTGGGAAGCTCCCACCCTACCTGAGCAGAATGCTCTCCCTGGCTGTTCCCACCTCATATAACCGAAAACGTTCAGAGGACTTGCAGAGTCCATGCTTCAATGCATCAAATCTGTTTTGGCAACACAAGGGAGACTAACACACTACTAGGCAGTTGGTTTTAATGTTGTAGCTAATCAGTGAATCTACTTAATAACTTCTTGATTAACTTCTGGTATTAACAAACCAGTCTAGGGTAATTCTGCTATTTTACAGAGATTTGAACAATTATTGCAAGACATGTAGACTTGGTTAGATATCTTTATCTTTTCCATATGGTTAAATAACCTATAAACAAATGCATGTATTTTGCAACTGTACACTTGCTGGACATTTACAATTTCTTGTATGAGAAACACTGAAATGTTCTCTTTGTATTGAAACATATTAAATAGGCTCTCTTCCCTCAAAACAATCATCTCAATTACTGTGGATGATTGTGTTGAATATCCTAGTACATAACTGAATGCTGTAGCTTTACTTAAGACTACAGGATAAAAACCCTAAATTTACAATTTGTGTTTGTCTAGATTAAGACACTTTTTCTCTATCTCTCTTCTTCCATCTTTAAGTGACAATATATAAACAGAATGGTCTTTTGTTTCATCATTTCTCTATTTGTATTTTACAGAGTTCACTGGCTGGAACAAGAATACATGTTAAAAAAGACTATTAAACACATAGTGAAATGTAACCTTGCAAAGAAAAATATTACAGATCCTATGATTCTACCAAAAGCTGACTGCCTGCTTATTGCGGGGGGCTTAGAGGTGATGAGCAAAGACCATGACAGCTATCACCAAAACCTGAGAAAACTCTCCTTTTTACTGAAACCTGGAGGTCACCTTATATTATTTGGGGCTTTAAATGGCACTTTTTGTCAGGTGGGTGAACACAGGTGCCACGTTTTGACAATGGATGAAACCTTTTTACGCCAGGCTCTAACTGATGAAGGTTATACAATAGAATATTTTGAAGCTCTTGAGAGAAGAGCAGAAAGTTCGCTTCTAGATGCTCAACACTTCGTGTTTATCCTGGCAACCAAGACAAAGCTAACTCAAGAAAAAACAGCTTCAGTACCAATGCTAAGTGCTCAGAACTTTGCGATTTAAAATATTATTCAGTGGATATCCTGTTTTCAAATAACTGTTTCCTGACTATTCTTCTTATATTTACATAACACTTGTGTGAGCTAACTAATAGGTACACATTTTAATAAACAAGCTTGTTTAAATGAATATTAATGTTTTTTTCCTTTATGACCAGAGTTATTATTATTATTTTTATTATTTTATTTTTTATATAGTGCCAGCAAATTCCGTAGTGCCGAATAAGGGGTGGACTAACATACTCATAATTGTAACCAGACAAGTGAACGCACATGAACAGAGGGGTTGAGGGCCTTGCTCAATGAGCTTACATCCTAGAGGGAGTGGGGTATAGTGACACAAAGGGTATGAGTAGGGGTAACAAATTAGGTTGCTAGAAAATTATTAGTAGGTTATTTTTGACAGGTGCAGGAGAGGAGTCATGAGGTGGATGAAAACCTGCTAACTTCCTCCTGAAGAAGTGAGTTTTCAATGACTTTTTGAAGGAGTGAAGACTGGGTGAAAGGCTAATGGAATGGAGCAAAAGATGCAGCCCTGAAGAAGTCTTGAAGTGAGCGTCAGAGGTAGAAAAAGGAGATAGATGTAAGTCTTCAGCAGAGCGCAGGGGCCCTTAACAGGGAAGACATTAGGGAGGATAGCTAGGTTGGAGCCGCATTATGTAGGGACTTGTAAGCAGGAACCATAATCTTAAATTAAACCCTATATCTAACTGGAAGCCAGTGTAGGGACTGACAGAGAGGAGAGGCGTGGGAGGTGCGGGCAGACAGGAAAATGAGCCTCGCTGCCGCATTCATTATAGATTGCAGTGGTGCAAGCTGGGAACACGTAAGACCACTGAGAAAGGGATTGCTGTAATCAAGGCGAGTTAGAACAATGGCACCTGAACTGCGTCTGTTGTTAAATAGGGGCGGATGTGAGCTATGTTTTGACATGAAAGCGCCAGGATTTGGCGATCGACTGGACATGAGGGGTGAAGGAGAGGTTGAAGTAAAAAAGAAAACCTAGCAGCGAGCCTGTGAGGTAGAAGTGATGGTAGCGTCATTGACATGAAGGGAGACAGACACAGGAGTTGCAACGGTTGATGGAGGAAACACCAGAAGTCCTGTTTTGGACAGTTTGGGTTTAAAAAAATGAGCAGCCATCCAGTTGGAAATCTCGAAGAGACAGTCAGAGACATGAGTCAAGATGGGCGGAGAGAGATTAGGAGAGGACAGGTAGATTTGCGTATCATCTGCATATAAATAATAATGGAATCCAAAGGAGCTGATGAGTTTAGGCAGAATAGATAAAGAACAGTAGGGGACCAAGGCCAGAACCTTAGGGAACACCAGCAGAGAGGGGTTGGGGAGAAGAGACAGAGTCAGAGAAAGAAACACTGAAAGAGCACTGGGAGAAGTAGGAGCACCAGGAAAGAGCAGTATGCGGTAGACCGAGATTATGGAGATTTAGAAGAAGCTGTTGATGATCAACAGTGTCAATGGCAGCAGAAAGATCAAGGAGAATTAGGATAGAGTAATGGACCCAATATTTAGCAGCGCTTAAGTAGTTGGATACTTTGGTCACAGCTGTTTTGACACAGTGACGAGCATGGAATCTAGACTGAAGAAGGTCAAGCAGAGAGTTAGATTTGACGAAGTCTGTCAATCTCGCATATACAACTTTTTCAAGTATCTTGGAAGCAAATGACAGTAGCAAGATAGAGTGGCAGTTGGATGGGGAGTTTTGGTCAAGCTTGGACTTTTTCAGAATTGGTGTTACGGTTGCATGTTTGAAGGGTGAAAAAAAAACAGAGGAAAGGGAGAGATTGAAAATTTTACTGAGAGGAAGTGCAAGAGATGGAGACAGAATGCGGATGATATATGAGGGAATAGGATCAAGGGAACAGGTGGTGGGGCGGGAGAACCGGAGCAGAGCAGAAACCTCTTCCATTGTAGCAGGTGCGAATTAACAGAGAACAGTGGAGGGAGTGGGGTTGGATGATGTATTGGTAGGGGATGAGACAGAGATTAGAGACCCCTTCCCTGATTGTAGAAATCTTCTCAGTGAAGTCAGTTGCAAAGTTTGTGGTGGACAAGGTGGTAGGAGGATGGGAAGCAACAGGGCGAAGAAGAGCATTAAAAGTGTGGAATAGGCATTTGGGTTGGCAGGGCAGTATGCAGTTTTGCAGAGGAAAGAGACAGATTGTAGAAGTGCAGCATAAATTTATAGTGGAAGAAGTCAGTTGCAGATTGAGACTTTCTCCAGCAGCGTTCAGCAGTTCTGGAACATTTTTGGAGGTATTGGGTCAGCTTGGTGTGTATTTCAGTGTCACACACTCACTAATACACTCACTGTGTGTATTAGGCAGTACGTGTGTATGGATGTATGTATTTGCAAGTGTGTGTATGTATGGCAGTGTGTGTATGTATTGAGAAGTGTGTGGAGTTATGTATTGGACTGTGTGCGTATGGTTGATTGTATGTAATAGGCAGTATGTATGCATGGATGGATGTATTAGGCAATTTGTGTATATGGATGCATATACTGGATGAGTGTGTTTATATTGTGTCTCTTTCCATAAATGTCTGCTTACTGTGTCTCTTGCCTGAAAAGTCTCCCAGTCTCTGTTCCCTAAATGTTTTCCGAAGCCTTTTCTGTTCTCCAAATTTCTAATTTAAAGGGATACTATAGTGCCAGGAATGCAAAGCTGTGTTAAAGACCCTTTATTTACTTACAGGCACTAATGTCACTTGGCGCTGGGTTGTGGCTCCTCAACCTACTGATGAGGGGGGCACAAATGCGCATGCACGGCGAGTGCCACAAGCATTAGGCCCTCCCCATAGCAAAGCATCTAATCAATGCTTTCCTATGGGGACATAACTGATGCTTGATGTCCTCATAAAGAGCATGAGGACATCCAGCATCAGTTACTAGACCAAAAGTCTGTTAACATCTAGGAAACGGTCCATTGACTGTCTGGGAGATAGCTACTGCAGGCAGATTAAGTGCTGCAATGTAAACATTGCCATTTTTCTGGTAGATAGTGAGTTTAGCACTATAAGGTCAGGAATACATAATAATGCTTTAAAATGGTATTGGTGCCCAAATTGTCCCTTTAAATTAATTTTCTTTGTAGCAAAAACCGTCCAGTTTTCAAAGAAATTTATATTTCAGAAGACCACTGTATTTATAATGCTGGGAAAATAGAAGAAAAGTGTCAGAAAAAATCATTAAACTGAAAAACAAATTGCCGATATAAAAAAAGGACAGGGTGGAAAAAAAGGCAACAGATTAAAAAATCTGACATATTTAATTGTTTAATATTGTGTCTAAAATCCATCGTTAAACTGCCGACAACACTTCGAAAAATCTCCGCCAATGTGCCAATTTCTTCTCTGCATTTGCAATGTTGCCCATGTATTGCCTGAATTGGATTATGATGTAATTTGCTAAACCTTTAATAAAAAATAAAAAAATACAATAAAAAAATAGAGAATTTGTTCAATGCATCTCTCTGAGTAGGGAATGTCTAGTCACAGCGCAGTGATTGCCAAATGTGCGCACGATCCTCTCAATGCTTCCCAATAGGTAAGCATTAGATAAGCAGAGAGACCAGCAGTATAGGCCCTGGGGAGATAGCACAGCTAAGTGGACAAGGGCACATGTATGAGTGTGGGGATAGATGCATGGGATTGGTTTAACCCCTTAAGGACACATGACATGTGTGACATGTCATGATTCCCTTTTATTCCAGAGGTTTGGTCCTTAAGGGGTTAAAAGAGTGTGTGGGTGGGATTATGTTCTGTGTAAATTAGTGTGGGGGAGGTCTTACCTCAGTGCCACTTGGGATTCGGGCCAGCAAACAGCTTCCTGTCCTCCTGCTCCTGTTTGCCTGGGCCTGCAGATTTACACAGCTTGAGGGATGGAGGTTGAGGCTTTCTGGCTTCCCTCAGAGCTGCTGCAGCGTGGAAGGTGGCCAGCGACTCCTGATTCAGGTACTCATCTCTCCTGGATCCTCTCCCCTGGGGTGGCTGCTGGTGTGGGTGCTCCCCCCGCGGCCTGTCTCCATCTGGCGCCTTCCCTGTGGCCCCTGTTCCCCTCTCCCATGATGGCTGCTGGTGTGGGTGCTTCCCCCCGACAGCCTGGGCTCCTCTGGGGCCTTCCCTGTGGCCCCTGCCCCCCCCTCTCCCATGGTGGCTGCCGGTGTGGGTGCTCCCCCCCGCAGCCTGGGCCCCTCTGGGTCCTTCCCTGTGGCCCCTGCTCCTGGGGGCCAGCATTAGGGGGGCACAGGTTCATTTGAGGGTACCCTGCAACCACAGGGGGGTACCCTGTCACTCCTCCCCGGGCCCGGTTGAGGTGGGAGCCTGGGCCCGAGGCATCACCAGGCCTGCGTGTCTGGGGGCTCTAGACACACGGCCTCCAACTTTCCTGAGGATCCGCGGCCTTCATGGGCTGCGCACGGAAGCGTGGCCTACCCGGCCTGCAACAACGGGCGGGGGCAGTGATGGCCGTTTCTAATCCCCCCGTGGCTCGTGGGACGGCGGGGCTGTGTGGAGGGCCCCCAATGGTGAGGAGGCCCGGCGGGGCCACGCGGGTTAATCCGGGACCCCGCCGTTCGTGACCAGGGGGCCCTCTAGTGATCCGGGAGCCTCCTCTGCCGGTGAGGTAGGCTCCCTTTCATCTCTCTCTCCCCTGTTCCACTTTCTGCCCCGACCCCCACCTGCTGGGTCCTTCTCCCCCCCCACCCCAGTGTCTTTTCCCTCCTTGGTGGGCTCCTTGTTTCTGGAGGGCCCCCCTCTGCCCTCCTCTCCTTCCCCTGCTCTCTCTCTGGGTGGGTCTTGTCCGTCCCCCGTCCCCCCGTGTGTCCCTGTTCTATGTGCCCCTTCCTCTATGTGTCTCCCTACTCTGGCTCTATGGCCCCCTTTTCTATGTGTGTGTGTGTCCCTATTCTCTGTGTGTGTGTGTCCCTATTGTGTGTGTGTGTGTCCCTATTCTATGTGTGTGTGTGTCCCCTGCTGGTCACTTACCTCGGCTGCCTCCTGGTGTGGAGTGTGGGCTCACCTCTGCTCTTCTCACAGATCCTGGCTGCTGTTACTGGCCCTGCCCAGCAGGGGGCGCCTGGAACACGTGGGAGGAACACAGTGAACCCTGGTTTTCATGTCTGTTTACTTCACCTCCTGTGCCTGCGGTGCCGCGGTTGGAGCGCCAGGCTTTTCACGGGTAAGTGTGTTTTTTCACTGTTGGTTTCATAATTCGGTAATTAAAAAAAAAAAAAATGTTACAAAAAAATTTAAATCAATAAATAAAAAGCTAATAAGAATAATAAAAAAAAAGAATAAATAAATGAATTAAGATTCCTGCTGCGTCCTGCGCAGCTAATAGCGTGCGTTTCGTGTGGCTCGGGGTGCTGCTGATGCATGCGTATAGCCTGCTTGGCTGGCCCTTGTAACGAAATACTAGGGAGCAGATTGGGGAAGGTTTTATTGGCGATGGATTCCCTTCTGCCACTGAGGGTCCCTTGGGTGAGGAATATATATATATATATATATATATATATATATATATATAATAAAAAATAAAAAAAGTACTCGGATACACCCCATGACGCACGGGAATTGTGTCCGGGCATCGAAGGTTATGGGTAGCATTGTCGGGGGAGGGCTCCCCGAGAATGCTCGCGTTGTTCTGCTGTCAGGACAGTCTCTGGGACACATGTCGTCCCTAGGGTGAGCTGGGTTGGTGGAGGTACGTCTTGCACTTTTGTCCACGGTAGACGTGCGACCCTTTCTGGCCTGGGACCAGATGGTTTTCCTTATGTCTCGCACGGCGCCTCAGCACGGCGTGTTTTCGTCATTTTGCGGCGGTGGGGGAACACCCTCCCTTTCACTGGCCCCCCAGCCAGAGGCTAGGCGGTGGTTGGAAATTCACCGGCAGTCATGGTAAGTGGGGTCTTCGTGTCGTTCTGGCACGAGGGCTCGAGTTGCCCATCCCGTCTCCCACGTTTTCATGCAGGCGATCTGTCGGGATAAGGGACATGGGTGCTCTACATGCAGGCCCTCTTCGGTCCATATGAGAATTCCATCGGGTGGTGCGGGAGCGGCTTACCAAGAAGCTTGATAAGCTTACCTCCTGAATGTTTATGGTGTCTCCCCCCCTTGGATGGGGCCATGGAGGAGCGGGAGGGCGATTTCACCTGATTCCTTATTTACTCATTTGTCATTCCCTACGAGGGGTTAGGTATGGGGTGTTGTGGCATGATGCAGCAGTCCGAGGGTTAGCACTGCGGGGCCCGGGGGCCTTGCTGATGGCGGCAACTGTGGAATCGGCTGCCCGGCGGCTGCCGATGCGCCCGGCAGGTTATTGTTTTCCAGGCTGTATTTTCTGACGGTCGGTGTTGAGTGGCTATGTGCCTCCACAAGGGTTGCTCCCATTGTCGCTTCTGTGTGCGGCCGTCAGGGTCACACGTCCGCGCTCTGCTGCTGCGGCATTTCTTGGGGTAGTGTTTCGGAGTTCCGTGGCCCAGGACGTAACCGTGGGTCGGGATACGGGCTGTAGTTTCCTGTATAGTGGGATTGATTCCAGGACAGGGGAACGTCGGTTGCCCCTGACTGGTAGCTTGTGCTGACAGGCCCCGTAGGTCCCTTCCACTGACTTCTGCCTATTTACCGCTGCGGCAGGTTTGGGGCCCTTTTGGGCTCTCCATGGTGTGCTGACTCTTGCCCAGTAAGCTGGCAAGCATCGGGGCTCTTGCAGCCTCTGGCTGTCATGGAGCTCTTCCCCATTCTGGGGGCATGGTAGGTGTGGGGTTCCCTACTCATGAGCTGATGGGTAGTTCTTCCGTTGCGACAATCTTGGGGTGGTGCAGGCTGTCTATCACGTGACGGGGTCCTCCACCCCGGTGGTGCTCTGGTTGCGGGGCCGTTTGAGTCTGGGAAGTGTCTGGTTAGCTGGAGGTTATCCCAGGGGTTTCACAATGTAGTGGCCGATGCTTTATATTGTTCGCTGTGGGACATACTTCGAGTGGGGGCTCCGCGGGGCCAAATATAGGTCAGTGGAGATGTGGTCGCTTGTTCTAGCAGACTGATGAAGCTGGTCTGTGTGTCGGTCTTTGAGGCGGAGTGGGACCCGCTACAGGAAGGTGAGTGCTCGGGCCAGATAGGAGCATTTCCTTGGGGGGGCTCCGGGATTGGACTGCTCATCTACATGTTTTGTTCCGTCCCTTAGGGGCATCGGGGGCTCCTTAGTGAGTTCTTTGATTTGCAGGGCTCGGCTTCCCGTTCATGTTCGGTCGTCTGCAGGTGGGGGGGGTGTTTTGGGGGTTTGAGTGCACATCGGAATGGACTTCCTTCAGGTTTCACCGCTCGACGGCTGTAGACTTTGGGGAGGGTGAGTTGGTAGCGGTTGGCTGATTCATTAATGGAATCTGTTCATTTCTTGGACGTTGCGGCGTTGACATAACCTGGCCCTTCCGCATTTTCCTGAGGTAGATGGAGTGCACAGGGTAATAGTTAGGCTCCTAACATGATGTACTTGGTTCCCAGGATAGTTTGGATTATGCCGTTCCGATCAGGGGCGGTGCTGGGTTCCGTCATTTGTCCTGTTTTCCTTAGGTGAGTGCCATTCCGTCCCCTGGATTATTTGCCTTACTCACTCCCTGTTTGGTTCTCTGAGACGGGTTTTCTCTCCTACGTCCATTTGTGGGGGTATTCCACTTGGGGCTCGAATTCCTGGATAATGATGGTGGGGAGTTCAAGGGGCATTCATTCCGGTTAGGGGCGGCTACAGACGCCGCCAGGCTCGGCGTGCCTGCGCCAATGGTTCAGAGGGCTCGAATGATTAGTTCCTTATGTTCACCCTGCCGGTCTCCGAATGAATTTCTCTCCTCGGTTACGGTCTCCCCCCCCAGAATAGGGATGGTGGGATGCTCATGTAATTTGGGCCAGGAGGCGGGGGGGTGAGTGGTTGGATCTTACGCCTTTGGGATTGGAGGTTCGGTGGTCTGGCACCAGTACATGATGGAGGTGTGTCTCCTCCTCGTACGGGGTCAGCTGTCCCTCCTCCTGGGGGTACCAGGGGTTTTTGTCATCTCTGGGTGGAATGACCTGGGTTCGGTTACGGTTTGGGATTTGGGTGCTCTTCAATCTGGTCATGTTACGCATTCTGTGTCTTCCCAGAGGTTCTCAGGGGCTGGCCTGAGGCTATCGCCCGTTCCTGCTGGCAGTGCGCTCAGCAATGTGAGTGCCCTGGTGCGCTGCCGTCGAAATCGGACTAGATGGATTTCTAGGTTTGTTGTGGGGTCTTGGGGGATTTCCGGTTCGCCTTTAGGGTTGGGCCAGATGTGGCCTGGTTATCTCGAGGGGATGGGTGCACTTGCTGGAGGTCGGACTAGGCCTATGTTAATCTAGCGCTGCAAAAAGTGGTGGAACAGGCCATGGCTGGTTATGGTGGGGTCCCCCGCGGATTTTAGGTGTAAAGCAGCAGGGTTGTGGCGGGGGTATGTCCTTGCCAATTGAGTTTGAGAGGTTACGTTTAAGTATATGGAATGAGATGAACAAGTTTTTTTAGGTCTCAACCACCCCTGCTTCAAAAGGTTAAACATTAGGTTGCCTGAGGTGTCGTGCCCATCGAGCGTGGATAAGGTCGGCTGATGGCGGGCATTGGAAATATATGATTTTTATGACGGGGGGGAGGTGAGAGGAAGTGGTGATTAGGAACCACTGTATGTTTATTGGCAAGGACGGTTGGGTCACTGTATAACACTATGGGTGGAGTTATATATGTATATATGTTAATTTATGCTTATTTATGTCTAACGTTTTGGTTACAGAAAGAAGAGATTTAATAAATAAAGTTATGGATGTGTTATGCAGTAATTTAGTTTGTGATAGTAAATGCTGTGGCCTGTTCATCCATACTAAGTGGTCTGTCGTTATTGGGGGGGGTAAATGGGTTTAGATTTGTGCTAGGATGCATCGTGATTCCCACTACGTACATATAAGAAACCTGCGTGCTGTGGGATATACGATAAGTGATTCTCCTTTTTAAACCTCAGAGAATTAACATCTAAATCATTAATATGATTCTACAATGTTAGGAAGTTAGGAAAGGAATACATGTTTTCCATTATATTCTTTGGAATTAGAAAGTATATTTAAAAATTATCTTTAAAAACAATATTTCCCTTTTATATTATTAATTATTAACGTTTGCTACATTTCCACTTTATTCTCAGTTTTATTAACCAAATGAATGGCAACTATTTGCAAAACAAAAGACTGCTTGGAATCAGACTTCTTGTTCCAAAAAATCAAAAAATTAATCATGGTTTATGATTTTCACCTATCTGATCCTTCATATCTTTTTATCTCAAATGATCACTCCTCTGGTTTTTCATCTCTAATTAATTGCCCCAATAGCCCCATGTCTCCCCACCCCTAATAGTGTTTTATTTCTTTTTTTTTTTCTTTCTAACCTCAGACCTCAGACCTCAGACTTATATTTCAGACTGGGCCCCTTAAAACAGTATTAACACCCAGCACTCCCAAGCAACCAAGTCCTGCAGAATCTTCTGAGCAGTTGTATCATCTCTGGAAGATTGCCCTCCATCCCCACCCCCATGGTCATTACCTTACTTATAGATAGTGCAGAGCAGCTGGTTTCCAAAACACACCAATCAAGTCACTAAACCTCTCCTCATCTGAAATCCTCTGTTAACATACTGCATTCTTTAAACCAGTGTTTCCCAACCCAGTCCTCAAGGCACACCTACCAGTCCAGGATTTAGGGATTACCCAGTTGTGTCTAAGGTGTTTTTTTCTTCTTTGTAAAAACACCTTAGACACAACTGGGTAATCCCTAAATCCTGGACTGGTAGGTGTGCCTTGAGGACTGGGTTGGGAAACACTGCTTTAAACACTCATTGATATTTGTGTGTGTGTAGCTATGTATATGATTTATATATGTGCGCATATATATATATATATTCATCCAAAATAGGCAGGAGCACTCACTTGTTAAAAGTCCAAAATTTATTAGAACATCTTTAAAAAAAAATGATCAATGTTTCAGTCCTGCGTAGAGGACTTTCATCAGGATCTGAAAGACCTTTGATCCTGATGAAAGTCCTCTATGCAGGACTGAAATGTTGATCGTTTTTTAAAGATGTTCTAATAAATTTTGGACTTTTAACAAGTGAGTGCTCCTGCCTATTTTGGATGGATACATAAAACTAGCCATGGCATGCTAGCACCCGATCTTTAAGGGATACTTCAAGTGTGAGTGTAGGAATATATATATATATATATATATATATATATAAAACCTACATATCTATATAATACACATTTTCTCTAATGTTCTCACTTCTATTTTTCACTTTAACACTAACTTCTCTCATTACTAAAATATCCCTATCCTTTTGCTCACCTGTTAATTGCAACACCATCTTCATTACTTCCACCCTACTACCCTCCCCTCTCTATTCAGCCCATGCATTCTGCACATACCTTTCCCGCCTATCTCCACCAACTCATCCCAAATCCTCTACATAAATACCCTCCTACAAAACTTTCAAATCCTACTCCCACTTTCACTTCCTTTCTATCATTCTGCTTCTAGCAGCTGGTGATGTCTCTCCAAACCCTGGTCCAATCTCAGCAAACTCACAACATACTAACCCAATGATCCAATCTAATCTCATACCCATCTCATGTTCCTCTAAATCCTTCTTCAACACTGACCTCTGGAACGCATGCTCTGTTTGCAATATTACTAAATCCACTGCTGTCCATGACTTCTTCATCTCTCATTCAATAGATTTACTAGCCTTAACAAAAAACCTGGCTCTCCCCCTCTGACACTGCTACCCATTCATCTTTGTCCTACAGTGGTCTTCAACTTACCCACAACCCAAGAAACTCTGAATGTAAAGGTGGTGGTGTACGGTTTCTCCTCTACCCTCACTGCTCCTTTAAACCTCTACCCATCCCCCCTTTCCCTCTCTTTCCCATCATTTGAAATACATTCAATTCACCTTTTCAAACCCTTCTCTACTAACATTGCTGTTATTTATCTCCACCCCAGTTCCTCTCTTCTCTTCCTTGACCACGTTGCTGCCTGGCTACCCTATTTCCTCTCAGCGTCGCTTAACCCCTTAAGGACCAAACTTCTGGAATAAAAGGGAATCATGACATGTCACACATGTCATGTGTCCTTAAGGGGTTAAAACACTTTTCATGTTCTAAGAACTTAACCCTGCAAGGTAATTATTGTAGTTTATGAAAACTGCAATAATTACACTTGCAGGGTTAAGGGTAGTGGGAGTTTGCACCCAGACCACTCAAATGGGCAGATTCTTGCACCCTTCATGGCAATGGTGTTCCCTGATGGCAGTGGCTTCTTTCAGCAGGATAATGCATCCTGCCACAACATGTTCAGGAATGTTTTAAGGAACATGACAAAGAGTTCAATGTGTTTCCTTGACCTCAAAATTCCACAGATCTTAATCTGATTGAGAATATGTCGAACAACAAATCCGATCCATGGAGGCCCCACATCGCAACTTGTGGAGACCATGCCTCATTGCATCAGAGCAGTTTAGGCAGCACGAGGGGGACTTACATGATATTAGTCAAGTGGTATATAGAAATATATCAAATAATCTGTGTGATAAAGGCACTTCAAACATTTGTGATTATCAATTGAAAGCCGCTACAACACTCAATAACATGCCCCGAAAAAAAGTGGAAAAAGCCCAAAAGCAATTAACCTCAAGAGTAGAGCGTTAAGTGGTTAAAATTAACCACCTACACTAAATGGGAATATATCAGTCTTTTGCACAACTTGGATGATAGTGCAATCCAGTCAATATCAAGGCAGATATAAGTGTCCACCGTGGCTTCCTTGTTCCGAGATGCATTTTATCCTTTTCAAAGGGATTTATCAATCAGTACAGTCTGCTTACTGGGTTTGTCCATTTTAAATATGGTGGTCTTTCTCTTCATTGGGGGCTCTCAGGGGTTTGTAGCAAATCAGCTCCAGTAGTATGGGGGGTGGGGGGGCTCTCCTTCTCAGCTGATTCCTATTCTTCCAATTAGTCCGTAGTGGAAGTGACGTACTAAAACATACAGCGTCACTTCCGAAGCTGAATCCTCCTTCTTCTCAATGGGCGGGTACCTAGTATATTACCCAGAAGTGACGTAGCACCACTGCATGTGCGCTTTATTTCCGTTGAGCCAGATGGCGCCATGTTGATATGGGAATGTAGTGAGGATACTAAAGGCAATCTCAATTATAATCCAGTACTTATTGGTGGAAATCCACTTTGTTCCTCCACGTAATATGAAAAGAAAATGCATATTAACAGGCAATAAGAAATAATGTTATAACACTATTCGTATACCGAACAGCTTAAAAAATATTAACATATCTTCCTTACATGTTAATAAGTGAATAAAAACTATTAAAAATGATTAAGAACCTTGAATGATGTGGCTGATCAGTTTATCTACTTAATTCTTCCTTGGTTAACTGCTGTTATTAACAGACCAAGCTAGGGTAATTCTATTATTTTACAGAGATTTGGACAATTATTGCAAGAAATGTAGCCTTGGTTAGATATTGTGATCTCTTCCCAGAATCCATATAATTAAATTAACTTACAATCAAATATATGCATTTTGCATTGCGTAACTATACACATGCTGAATATATAAACAATTTCTTGCTTGAGAAACACCAAAATGTTATCTTTTGAGTGAAACATTGTAAAGGTGCATAATTGAATGTTGAAGTTAACAATTGTCCGTCTAGATTAAGACACTTTTCCTCTATGTTTCTTCCTTATTCCATCTTTAAGTGACATTATATAAACAGAAAGGCTCTTTGTTTCATCAAAGCTTTATTTGTATTTTGCAGAGTTCACCCCCTGGAGCAAGAACACATGCTAAAAAAGACTTTTAAGTACATTGTGAAATGTGACATTGCAAAAGGAAAATATTACAGATCCTGTGATTCTACCAAAAGCTGACTGCCTGCTTATTGCGGGGGTGTTACAAGTGATGAGCAAAGATCATGAAAGCTATCGCCAACACCTGAAAAAATTCTCCTCTTTACTGAAACTTGGAGGTCACCTAATACTATTTGAGGGTTTAAATGCCACTTTTTGTCAGGTTGGTGAACACAGGTGCCACGTTTTGACAACAAATTAACCTTTTTTACGCCAGGCTCTAACTGATGAAGGTTACACAAATGAATCTTTTGAAGCTATTGAGAGAAAATCAAAAAGTTCAGTAATAGACGCTCAACACATTGTGTTTATTCTGGTAACCAAGAAGAAGATAACTCAAGAAAAAAACAGCTCCAGTACCAATGCTAAGTGCTAAGAACATAATGATTTAAAATATTATTCAGTGGAGAACCTGTTTTTTTAGTTCCTGACTTTTCTTATTATATTTACATGATAGTAAATATAGGTTTAAGCTAAATAATAGATACAAATTAGTAAATAAGGTTCTTTAAATTAAAATCTTTAATTTATTTTTGTCCTGTTTCTCCCACTATAGATTGAATCAGCACACAGAAGATACATTTATAGTTTATACAAGCTTGAGGTCTGCTTCTCATACTGTTGACAGAATCATCATTTAGAATATATACAAGACTATTCACTAAAATTACATTTCAAAGTGTTACCCCTGTCCCTCTCTTGAACACTTCAGCCACTAAACCCCCTTCACACACACACAAACACTACATTTCATATCCCCTGGACACACACTACACCCCTTATCCTCTATATTAGGCTTCCTCAAACTCCGGCCCTCCAGATGTTGCTGAACTACAACTCCCATGATTCTATAAATGAAATAGATAGGCTGAGAATCATGGAGTTGTAGTTCAGCAACTTCTAGAGGGCCAGAGTTTAGGGAAGCCTGCAATGCACACACTATATCCCTTTTACCCACACAAATCTCCTACTGACTGCACACACACTAAATCCCCTATTTTGTACACGCACACAAATGTCACCTACATACAGTAATGTATTTACCGCAAGGCTGACAAGTCATTTGCCTTTGGCGGTACTCTCCAGGGGGCGGCACAAAACACGAGCACCACAGTGATGCCGGATGCCGGAATATGACGTCACTCTGGCTCCTTGCATCATTCTGCGGGAGCCAGGTAGGGAGCTGAACAGGGAGATCACGGCTCCCTGACTAATAGCTTAGCACGCCCGCGTGCCCGTCCGCCTGCCTTCTGCCCAGCAGCCCCAACACCCCAGCCAACAGTCAGCCAACAGCCAGCCCAGCAGCCCCACTAGACCCACAGGTAAAAAAATCCACCAACTCTCCCAAAGGTAGAGAGGCTGGGTGGATTTATATTAAATAAAAAAAATAAAAAAATATTTGTGAGTGTTGGGGGAAAATATGTGTGTGTGTGTGTCAGTCAGTGAATGTGTGTGTGTGTCTCTGTCAGCGTGTGTCTGTCATTGAGTGTGCCTGTCAGTGAGTGTGTGTGTATATCTGTCAGTGTGTCTGTTAGTGAATGTTTGTGTCTGTCAGTGTGTGTGTCTGTTAGTGTGTGTCTGTGAGTAAGTGAGTGTGCATATCTGTCAGTGTGTGTCTGTGAGTGAGTGTGTGTTTATATCTGTCAGTGTCTGAGGGAGTATGTTTGTGTCTGAGTGATTGTATGTGTCTGTGTCTGTCAGTGAATGTGTGCCTGTCTGTCAGTAAATATGTGTGTGTATGTGTTTGTATGTCTGTCAATGTGTGTCTGTAAGTGAGTGTGTGTCTGTTTGTCAGTGTGTGTCTGTGAGTGAGTGTGTATATCTGTCAGTGCGTGTCTGTTACTCACTCACTCACTGAAACACACACTCACTGTGTTTGTGAGTGAGTGAATGAGTGAGTCTGTCAGTGTGTATCTAAGTGATTGTGTGTGTCTGTCAGGTTGTGTCAACTCAGTGAGCGTGTGTGTATGTAAGTGTGTATAATCAGTGTATCTGTGAGTGTGTGCCTTTCAGTGAGTGTGTATGTGTCAGTGTGTGTCTGTTAGTCAAAGTGTGTGTTAGTCTTGTCAGTGTGTGTCTGTGAGTGAGTGAGTGAGTGTGTGTGTATATCTGTCAGCCTGTGTCTGTCAGTGAATGTATGTGTGTGTCTGTGAGTGAGTGTGTGTCTTTGAGTGTTAATCTTTAGGAAGAGGTGTGGCCTCGATGGGAAGGGATGGGGCAAATTCATTCCTCTATCCCCTGCACACACACACACATTATATCCCCTATTCACACACACCTTATCCCACGCACATACACACATTGCCTATCCCACACACACAGCTCTCTGGTTCCACCCCATCCTTTTGATCTTACTGTCTCTGTCCAGCCCAGCCCAAGCAACAAAAGGTGCTCATTTGTGGTTGCTGATGTTGGAGACATACGTGTTGCTACAGGGGGACAAGGAGGTTGTGACGATATGGCTCTGGCATCTCATGTACTAGGTGTTCTTCCCAGGACTCACTGTAGATCGCAATGTCATCCAGGTATGCACAAGCAAATTCCTGGAATCCATCAAGAAGTCTATCCACCATACGCTGGAAGGTAGGCGGGGCATTCTTCATCCCAAATGGCATGACCTTAAATTGGTACAGGCCAAATGGGGTGACGAAGGCCGACTTGGGGATAGCATCCTCGCCAGGGGAATCTGCCAGTAGCCTTTGCACAGGTCTATGGTGGTCAGATAGCGTCCCCTGGCAATGCGATCTAGCAATTCGTCTACCCGGGGCATCGGGTAGGCGTCAGTGGTGGTCCGCTCATTGAGCCGCCTGTAGTCCACACAGAACCGGGTGGTCCCATCCTTCTTGGGCACCAGGACTACAGGCGAGGCCCAAGGGCTATCGGAGTGTTCGATGACCCCCAGCTGGGTCATTTCCTGTATCTCCTTCCGCATTCCTTCCCGGACTGCTTCAGGGATACGGTAGGGGGGCTGTCGCAGAGGGTTCTGTCCAGGGGTTTCTACCTTGTGTACAGCTAGGGTAGTGTAACCAGGTTCTTGGGAGAAGGTCGCCTGCTTTTCCCACAGAAGCTGTCTTGCCTGGCCCTTCTCGGTAGCGCTCAATCTGTCCCCTAGCTGTACTAGGCTAGTAAGATCCGTCTGGGGATCCCTCTCTAACAGGTCTGGCAAAGGTAAACTTTCTGTATCATCTGCAGCAGGGGCACATACTGCAGCGACATTCTCTGGTCTCTCCTGATACTCCTTTAGCATGTTCACATGGAAGGATCGCTGGATCCTTTCATCTGAACAGCTGGCTATAAGGTAGGTAGTATCGCATATCTGTGCTAACACCTTATACGGGCCCTGCCAAGATGCCTGCATCTTGTTCGCCTTCACAGGTTTGAGCACTAACACTTTCTGCCCAACCTGGAAGACTCGCTGTCGGGCACCCCGATCATACCACCTCTTCTGTCTCCCCTGAGCCACCTGGAGATTCTCCCTTACCATTAGGGACAGTTTCTCCATGCGGTCCCGGAGTTCCAGAACATATGGTACTATGGGGGTCCCTTCCTGCTCTGTCTCCCCCTCCCAGTGGCCTCTAATGAGATCTAGGGGTCCGCGGACCCTTCTCCCATATAGCAACTCAAAGGGGGAGAACCCAGTAGATTCCTGGGGCACCTCTCTGTAGGCAAACAGCAGATGAGGCAGGAATCGCTCCCAGTCTCTGCAAGTGTCAGAAAAGGTCCTCAGCATTTGTTTGAGGGTGCCATTAAATCGCTCGCAGAGACCGTTAGTCTGTGGATGGTAAGGTGAGCTAAGCAGCGGTTTAATACCGCACACCTTCCACAGTTGCTGGGTGAGCACAGCGGTGAATTGGGTTCCCTGGTCAGAGAGAATCTCTTGAGGGAACCCGACTCTGGTAAAAATCCTAACCAGGGCATCAGCAACTGTCTCTGCCTCTATATTAGACAGCGCTACTGCCTCTGGATAGCGAGTGGCATAATCCACCACGGTGAGAATATATTTCTTACCGGATGGACTAGCCCTGGCCAGTGGACCCACAATGTCAACGGCTATGCGGGCAAAGGGCTCCCCAATGATAGGCATAGACATAAGCCTAGCTCTTGGGTGGTCCCCCCGCTTTCCTATCCGTTGACATGTGTCACACGTACTGCAGTATGTCCGCACAGCCTGATTGAAGTTTGGCCAAAAAAAGTTCTGCATGATCCTATAGGCTGTGCGGCGGGAACCTAGATGTCCAGCTAACGGAACATCATGCCCTATCCGCAGAATCTCCTGCCGGTATTTCGCGGGCACTACCAGCTGTCGATTCGGCGGAGGGGCAACACTCTTCGGGGAAAGCTTGGGGATCCTATATAACCTGTCCCCCACCCACTCATACCGTTCCCCATCTAATCCTTCCTCTCCAGTATCTGCTCTGTCCCTATACTTCTGGAGGGTCGAGTCTGTCTGAGTTTCCCTCCCAAACTCCTCTGGGGAGTCCCAGTTAACAAAGGTCGGTTCTAGTGTACCAGTCGGGGACTCGGTCCTTACCTGGGTCTCAGCAGCAGGTGGGCTGGTTCCAGCAGCACGGGTCTGGGCACGGGTAGTCACTGGGTTGATAGCGGCAGGTCCCATTGGAGCATAGGCGGACACCAAAGGGGCCAAGTCGTTCCCCAGTAAAACATCAGCCGGTAAGTCTTTCATGACCCCCACATTCACGTGTCCAGAGCCCACCCCCCAATCCAAGTGAACCCGGGCAACCGGTAAGCGGAACACTGCACCTCCCGCCACCCTCACTGCCACAGTATCTCCAGTGTGCTGGTGTTCGGACACAAGGTTCTTCTGGAGCAAGGTCATAGTGGCTCCGGTGTCTCTCAGACCAGTTACCGCTTTGCCATTTAGTTTAACGGTCTGCCTGTGCTGTTGACGGTTATCCTGCTGCGCTGCTTGTACTGGATCCACCTCGTGTAATATACCCCAAAATTCCTCCTGCTCAAGACAGTGAGCGGAAGGTGGGGGTGGCTGCTGATTTCCGCCGGCTGGTCTTCTCCACGACTGTGCTTGGTTCGAATTGTTTAATGGGCACTCGGGTCGCTTGTGCCCCAACTGCTTACACCCATAGCAACGGATCGGCTGTGAGTAATCCCGGGCGTTGAATCGGGCTGGCTGAACGTAATTGTTCGCTGTTGGCATGGTGGGGGTGCGTTGTGCTGGGTGTTGATACACTGCAGAGGTTGGAGGGGCTGCTGGTTTGTACTCCACTCGGGTAGGGACCTTGGCTGCTGTCTGGTCCAGTTTCCTGGCGTCAGTGTACTCATCAGCCAGACGAGCAGCTTCAGGTAAGGTAGCGGGTTTGCGGTCCCTAACCCACTCTCTGACTCCTACAGGTAAGCGGTCAAAACAGTGCTCCAACAAAAATACTTGCAGCACCTCTTCCCCAGTTACCGCTTGGCACCCTGCCATCCAGTGGGCTGCGGTGCGGTGTACTCGGCATGCCCACTCAACATAAGAATCACCAGCCTGCTTGTTAGTGTCCCGGAATCGCCGCCGGTATGCCTCAGGGGTCACAGCGTATCTGGCCAAAAGGGCATCTTTCACTGCCCTGTAGCTGGTAAGTTCCTCCTCTGGGATGGCCCGAAACGCCTCACTGGCCCGGCCGGATAACTTCCCAGAGAGGATGGGGACCCATTCTCCTGCGGGTACCTGGTGCAAGGCACATTGCCTTTCAAAATCCGCCAGGAACCCATCAATTTCTCCTTCGGCTTCTACAAAGTTCCGAAATGCAGCAAAAGGTACTTTTCTCCTTCCATTATTATTATACGGTACCTCAGCTGCTGCAGCGCCTCTTCCTTGAAGCGCCTGTTGTGCTGCTACTGCCGCTTGCACTTGCACCACAATATCTGCTGCGGGGTTGGGGCCAAAATGTGCCAGCCTGATCTGAACTGCCCGGTTAAACTGTATCTCCTCGGGTGTTAACTCCAGTATGCCAGGCACATCCGCTCCCCCCGTTCCTTGTGCTGCATCCATTTCCAATAGTATGGCAATAATCTCTCTTTTCTTGAGATTACTCGCTGATCGTCCTCTGCGTTCCAATATATCTTTAAGGGTAGCACGCCTTAATTCCTCATACTGCATTTCCAACCTGGGATGTGTAGCTGGCCTTCCGGGCTGTAGGATTCATCCCGTCGCTTGCCACCAATTGTTACGACACGTACTGTCGAGTAGATGAAGCCGCCGTTTAGGCAATAATCCCCTTTCTCCAGAAATGCAGTTTAAATCCCGCCGATCACTAAACTCCCGAACGAAGTCCACGAACACGGCAACTCCCGATCAGCCAAACAGTCGAACGCCTTCCACAGCTAGAAATAACGAAAGCGCTGTCCCAGTAATAATTCCCCCACAAACGAGACCAAGCTCCGTCTTGAGGGTCAAATGAAGTTCTGTTTAATGGGGGCTACCTGCCCGGTATTTATGCAGGTCTCCACAAGGTGGACACTCCCCGAGGGGACCTTGTGGAAGACTGTAACACATATTGGACAGTAGCCAATCGCAGTGGCTTCAATAATAGCCCTTCCCATCTTGCCCACAATTCCGTCTTCTTTACCTTGGAGATAATTGGGGAAGAAACCTAATTATCTCCCAAGGTAGAGACCATCGCCATCTTAAATTACAGTAACAAAAAGACATTAAAATACATAACTACAGCAATACCGAATGCATATGGTTCGTGTAACGTATCCCCAGACAGCCTGGATCTGAGGGCATGTTTTCACCGAATAGCGCTCAGATCCGATGTATCCAGTCGAATCGCCATGGAGTCAAAGTCCTGCACCAGTCCTTCGGTATACGAATGACTCCATGGGATGGCTGTCGGGGTGAAAGTCCATATGAATGCATAAAACTCCCGAACGACCGACGTTCGCATGCCTTGTCGAAAAGGGAGGTAGGCAGCAGCTTTTCAGCGGTGTTCGGTAGTTTAAGTGTCCGTTTTTAGTTCCATACAGTTTGTACCGAACACCGCTCTGTGTTCGTATGTCCCAAAATGGCCGCTGCCTCGTGGTCGACATGCGAACGACGACCACCCGTACGAATGGAATGGAGAGGTGTCTGCGGTTAACCACAACGTTCTAATTGGGGCCAGAAGGTTAACCAGCAGCACACTCCTCTCCTGGGTGGTCGTTCGTTCGGTAGTTTCCATCGGTATTTTGCAACTACACGAACGGGGTTATAGGAACGGGCAATTCCGCGAACAAAAAGGAAACAGACGAACCAACAATGCAGATGAATCTGTCACAATGGTTCCTTAGCATGACTTAAAGGAACACTACAGGATCAGGAACACAAACATGTATTCCTTACACTGTAGTGTTAAAATACTATCTTGCGCCCCTGCTGCTGGCTCTGCCCCTGATTTGTCTGCTTGGATGGCACCATCAGAAGAGTTGATCAAAGCCAATCACAAAAACTTCCCATAGGCACTAAATATTGGATTGGATTGGTTGAGACTGTCAAGTCGGCAGATACAGTCAATTCAAAGTACTAATCAATACCTATAAAGCATTAAACAATTCTAGCCTCTCTTATATCTCTTCACAGCTCCATAGGTATGCCCCTTCTCGGTCTCTCCGCTCTGCCCATGGCATTCTCCTGTCCGCTGCTCGCACCCGTAGAGTCAACTCACACTTGTTGGACTCCCTTCCTATCTAATAGCCTGTATACCACCATCAGACTCTCCCCTAGTCTTGAATCAGTCAAGAAGTGCCTTAAAACCCATCTCTTTAGGATAGTTTATGGCCTCCCAGAAAAACATCAGTCTCACACAACAGTCCCTTGCTCACTCCTAAAGGGCAGCACTCTACTCTCCCCTCAAGGTCTGCGTCATTCCCACCTTATTTGATTTCTATCTCCTATCCTATTGTGTTTTATACCCCACCTAATATAGACTGTAAGCTTGTTTGAGCAGGTGTTTTTTTTTTTTTGTAAGCCCACCTTATACGTCAAGGCAAACCTCTTAAGTGGGTTCTACAATAACAATTCACCTTTTTTGCTTCAGCTTCAGGCAAAAAAACCTCTAATGAGACAGAAAGGGATATTTTGTAACCCCCTACATACTACACATGGGATGGGTAGCAGCATTGTAACATGGCTGTGATCTATATAAAAAAAAGCAAATACACAAAAAAAAGTCCTGCACTTAGACTCCCACTACTCCTGGGTGGCAGCAATGACCATGGGACACATAAACCCCAATACCCAATTCACAATAAAAACCAAAGAAAGAAAGTCACTTGTGTACTATTCCAAATCCATATGCATATTTTGATAAATGGAGGTTTTTATTTCCAACCCTGCATTAAGCTGTAGTGGTTCTGGTGACTATGGTGTGCCTTTAACTAATAATACCTTAATATATATAGTTACAATTCTTTCTTTTTTTGTGTGGATGGTTGCTCATTCCTAAGGTTCCACTGAACCCTCTAAAGCAAATGCAAGTTTTCTCAGACTACATAGATAATCACAAACTCTGAACAATATTACCTTAATACCTGCACTTGTGATTTGGAAAGTTTGCAATATTTTTAATAGCAACTATTTGGAGGAGTCAGTAGAACATATCTCAACCTAATCTCACCTTCTCCTTGATGGGGGCTTTAAATCAATTAAACTGAAAGTCCAGAGGACACCATTTAATCATACTTCCTTGCAACCCCTTTACCTGTAGTGAGAGAGGACTGCTGGCCAGGTCTTATTACAATACAAAACATAAACAACATTTGGATTATTATATCCCTTATTATTTTAGCAGACAATGCTATGAATCAGACGGACACACTTTGATTCCTTGAATTAACCTCTGAATCGACTTTATTAACAATCTGTCAAATTTGAGGAGTTGTTTGAAAACTATAATCTAGTTGGAGATTAGTGAATAACCTTGTCTCTAATCAATCCAATTAATGATATAATAAGTGAATAATTTTCAGCTTTTTCAAGTCTCTGTTCACTGGAAAACAAAAAATCATTAAAAAAAAATATATGTTTGACCATGAATCCCTTCTCTATCATTTAAGTACATTTTTTTCCTTCACAGATTTTGTGACTTTTTGAGAGCAAATGTCCTTGCATATCTTGGCTGGAATACAATTTACTTTTTAACTACATAGGAATGTATGCCTAACCGTTAATGAATAACCATTTCCAAGAAACAAATTGTTTATTTTCTGTGAATTATTTTTTTATTCATAGCTGAATAAACGTAAGAGCTAACATTAATTTATCTAATTGAAAGCAATGATTTCAGAAATTAAAGCAACATACATATAATGCAAAATACGTACCATCTTTTATAGTTCCTAAAATTACAGGAATTTATAGACAAGAGTGGCCATGAGCAGACCCTCACAGAAATGGAGGAGGCTTATTGCATAACCCCTTGACAAGCTCCATGAGTGTCATCAGGGAGGGGACTGACCTTGGCTAGAGCTCAAAGTGGGTGCTCAAAAAGCCCAAGGGATACATTTTTCCATTTATTACTGGAAGTCTCACCCCAAGTCTCATCCCGAGAATGATTCTGGAAAGTGATTTAGATCATGGGTGTCAAACTCGCGGGCCGCAGGCCGCATGCGACCCACAATGAATATTGTTGCTGGCGGGCGGTCCATGACAGAATTGAGGCGGGCGGAGGCAGTCTACGTGTAAATGGAGGCAGGCGGAGGCGGTCCACGAGTAAATGGAGGCGGGCAGAGGCGCGCAGACACAACTTCTGGAATAAAAGGGAATCGTGACGGAATATTTCCGTCATGTGTCCTTAAGGGGTTAATGCTAATATTGTTTTTTTTTTTTGTTGTTGTTGATGTTTTATTTTCTTTAACAGGGAATAGGGTCTTCTACAGGGGGGTAGGGGGTGTTGTACAGGGGGGCTGGGGTCATGTACAGGGGGCTGGGAGCTTGTACAGAGGGGCTGGGGTCTTGTAAGGGGCTGGGGTTAGGGGCTGGGATCTTGTACAGGGGGTTGGGGTCATGTACAGGGGCCTGGAGTCCTGTACAGGGGTTGGGGGTCATGGCGCCCCAGAGGGGGAAGGGGGTGCACTTGCCCCCTGGATTTTTCAGCTTGTTCTGATATTTTTCGTGTGAGATTTAAAATGAACTGCAATACCGGCGCCGGCCAGTAGGTGGCGCTTTGTATGGAGAGAGACAGGGATAGGAAGCTGCATCTATCCCTACTTCTCTCTGCTGATTGAAACTGAAGGGGAGACAGCCTACAGACCAGGTAAGTGAGGGATAGGGGGAGGGTTTGATATAGCCTATAGATTTTTTTTGGGGGGGCAGCAGCCTATAGATTAGGGAGTGAGGGGGGCAGCAGCCTATAGATTAGGGAGTGAAGGAGGGCAGCAGCCTATAGATTAGGGAGTGAGGGGGGGCAGCAGCCTATAGATTAGAGAGTGAGGGGGGGCATCCTATAGATTAGGGGAGTGAGGGCAGTGGGGTATCCTGGTTTTGTGCTGCCCTAGGCAGGACAAAACTCACGCGCCCCCCCCGCGCACCAACCCTCCCCCCCAACCCGCCTTCTAAATACACACACACACATACATTCACTGACAGATACGCATACACTCACTAACAGAAACACATTAACAGACACACACTCACTGACACACGCACTCACAGGCAAACACACTCACACAGTCAGGCACACACACTCACTGACACACAGTCAGACACACACATACACACTACACACACACACTGACACACACTCACTCACTAGCAGACACACACACACACTAACAAACACAAACACATTAACAGACACACACCCACTGACACACACACACTAACAGACACACACTCACAGGCAAACACACACTCACTGACACACAGTCAGACACACACATACACACTAACAGACACAGTCAGACACACACACACACTCACAGGCAAACACACACTCACTGACACACAGTCAGACACACACATACACACTAACAGACAAACACAGTCAGACACACACTCACACAGTCAGACACACACACACTAACAAAACACACACATTAACAGACACACACTCACTCACATTAACACATTTTTTAATTTATTTTTATTTACCCCCCCCCTTACCTTTGGGAGTGCTGGGAGGGGGAGGGGGGTTCATTACCTCCCTGGTGGTCCAGTGGTTGCCGGGCTGGGCTGGGCGCTGGCGAGGGGCTGACCGGACGCTCAGGGGAAAAGCAGCCGCCTGCCCAGCCCAGCGCCGCCCGGCCGGTCAGTTAGCTGCGAGGCTAACAAAGCATTTGCCTGGGCATTTGGGGGGCAGCGTTTTTTGCCGCCCCCTGAAAAATGCCGCCCAAGGCAAATACCTTGCTTGCCTCGCGGCTAATACGCCCCTGAGTGAGGGGGGGCAGCCTATAGATTAGAGAGTGAGGCTGGGGGCAGCGCCTATATAGTAGGGAGTGGATGGGGCAGCCTATAGGTAGGTGAGGGCAGCAGCCTATAGGTGGGAGTGAGCTGGGGCAGCAGCCTATAGATTAGGGAGTGAGGCTTGGGGGGGCAGCAGCCTATAGATTAGGGGAGTGAGGATGGGGGGGCAGCCTATAGATTAGGAAAGTGAGCATAGGCATGCGCAGCCTATTGCATTAGGGTGTGCACCCTAAAGCACAAACACACGCCATGTGTATATGTATGTGTGTGTGTATATATATACATATATATATGCACACACACTGCTGTGTGTGTGTGTGTGTGTGTGTGTGAGGGAACTGGTAGTGTGCTGTGTGTGTGTGTGTGTGTGTGAGAGGGTGTTTGTGTTTGCGTGTTTGTTCGGGTCCTGCTTGTGTGCTGTGTGTGGGTGTTGTGTGTTTTTCAGGGTGCTGTTTGTGTGTGTGTGTGCTGTTTGTGTGTGGGTGCTGTGCGGGTGTTGTGTGTGGGTTTTGTGTGTTTGTGAGGATGCTGTTAGTGTGCTGGGTGTGTGTGGGTGTTGTATGTGTGTGGGTGCTGTGTGTGCGAGGGTGATGTATGTGTGTGGGTGCTGTTTGTGGGCTGTGTGTGCTGTGTGTAGGTGCTGTGTGTGTGTGCTGTATGTTTGGGTGGAGGTGGGGGCAGATTAGTTAATATCCCAGTCCTGCTGCCTTCCCTGGTGGTTCAGTGGAGAGTGAACTCTAGCCCGGGTTCTCTGCTGCCTCCCTCCATGCTGCTGTGGACCGGTGAGGTAGAACTTTGATCTCCCCACCGGCCCATGGAGGCTTAGACCAGAGCCGCCGCTCGGATAGCGTCGGCTCTGCATGAGCCGACTGGGGAGATCCAGAGATCTCCCCTGCCGGTCTCAATCCATTGGCGTGCCGCGGGGATTAGGGTGTGCCCAGGCACACCCGACACACCCCGTGCGCACGCCTATAGAAGTGAGGGATGGGGGAGACAGCCTACATGAAGAGTCAGCAAGGAGCAGGAAGGTAAGGTAAGAAAAGGAGAAGGAACAGAAATGAGCAGGAAGGGACATCAAGGAGCAGAAAGGGGCAGCAAGGAGCTGGAAGGGACAGCAAGGAGCACAAAAGGTAAAATAGGAGAAGGAGCACAAAGGAACAGAAATGAACAGGAAGGGTCAGCAAGGAGCTGGAAGGTAAAGCAGCACAAAGGTAAAGTAGAAGGAGCAGAAAGGGTCAGAAATGAGCTGGAAGGGGCAGAAGGAGCACAAAGGTAAAATAGGAGAATGAGCAGGAAGGGCCTGCAAGGAGCAGGAAGGAGCACAAAGGTAAAGGAGCAGAAAGAATCAGAAGGAGCACAAAGGTAAAGTAGAAAAGGGAGCAGAAAGGGTCTGCAAGGAGCAGAAAGGGATCAGAATGAGAAAGGAGCAGAAGGGCGCTAAATAAGCAGAAAGTAGCAGAAAGGTAAAAGAGCAGAAGGGGCCAAGGATAGAAAACAGTGTCAGAAGAAAAAAAAAACTGTCAAATGAAGGAGAGGAAAAGGAGATTGGAGCAGGAAGGACAAATTAAGTGAACCCTCCACTTTATTCTGGACACCACATCATAAGGCTTTGGTACCTGGGCCAGGCAGGGAAACGCTGGACCTTTTCATCTCCAAAGGTAAAAAAAATATCAGTATTAATGTGTTCACTTTTATTTACTGAGTGTCAGGAAGCACAGAGTGCCATTGGGTAGGGGTGTTGCTGATTGGCTAGAGCGGTCAGCTGGCACTCTAAGCCAATCAGTAGCTCCCCATTCATAAAAAAGTAAAAATATTTTATGAACCAGGAACTAGCGATTGGCTTAGAGCGTCAACTGTCCACTCTAGCCAATCAGCGGCACCCATGCCTGACGTCAATCTGCACTTCCTGACACTCTGTTTCAGAAGCCAAATACCACTGAGCGACCTGGAGCTGAAGGAAGCCTTTGGGGTTAAACCATTTGAGAGCGATTTAACCCCTTAAAGGAAAGCGAGCACCCAGGGGCTTTCTGGCATCACAGCATTTTCATTTATGTGAAGTTGTTATGGTAACAAGAATGGTCCTTTAATTTGCTTAAAGGAACACTATAGTGTCAGGAATACAAACATATATTCCTGACACCATAGTTGTGAAAACGCTATTCACCCTGGCTTTATGTGATGGATTTATGTGAAAGTTCCCTTTCATGACACTGTCAAAAAGGTACCAAGCATGTATGTCATTACAATTATGCCCCCCCCTGGAAAAATTCCTGCGGACGACCATGGTTGGGGTATTGAACAGGGGGGCTGGCGTCTTGTACAGGGGGGCTGGGGTCTTATCAGGGGGGTTGTGGTCTTCTTCAGGGGGGCTGGGATCTTCTTCAGGGGTTGTGGTCTTCTTTAGGGGGGCTGGGGGGCTTGTACAGGGGTGTTGGGGGTCTTGTGCAGGGGGTTTGGGGTCTTGTTCAAGGGGTTTGGGTATTGTACAGGGGGGTTGTGGTCTTGTACAGGTCTTGTACATAGAACAACAATGTTGTTCTATGAAAATGTAAGGTTTTTTTTGTGCGGCCCACATAAACTTAAACTTTGTTTATGTGGCTCATGCTAGACTTTGAGTTTGACATGCTTGATTTAGATGAACCAAAAGTGCATGAAAATGGGCCAAACAGTGTACTACAAAATGTATACACAATATGAATTTTTGGTTTACTAATCAATTGAGAAGAAGTGATCACTAATGGAAAATAAAGTAGGAGCAGTAAAAAAAATCTATTCTTATATGTTATATATTTGTTAAATATATAAATGTGTATTTTTTTTTATCACTCCTTTTTTTGAATCACTTCTCACTTGATCTGTAAATAAACTTAATATTTAGTGTCTGTCCCCTAATTATCAATCATCTTTATTGCTATCAATCATCTGTTTTACTTAGGATTGATTTTTTTTTTTGTGATTTACATGATTCTGTCATATGTCATTTGGAGCTATGGAATTCAGATGACCTGTCAAACACCCCAAATTTGGACCAATCACAATTATTTTAAAAACCGAATCTAGTTGAAAGATATAAAAGATGACTCTAGTCAAATGAACTACCAATCTGGATATCATTAGCTACTCCGGGGAGATAAACAGGACAGAGGGTACTCTCTGCAATATAACATTTGCAATGATGCAAAAGTTTTTATGTAGCTTTAAAGCTGTACTTCTCTTTGGTCAGATAAAATATCTCACTGATAGTAACTGTCAGTATTGGAGTTTCTCAGCACAAATAAACAGTAATGGATATTGTGATGAAATACCCCCTACTATTACATCTCATTTAACATAAGCGGAAGAATCCTAATTATTACTTTTATTGATTTTTCAATTTACTTCTGTTTGACATCTTATACCTGGTTACTTTGTATGTATGCATACTCAGAGATATCTTCCTTCCTGGTTAAATTGGCTTGGGAAAAGGGTGGTTTCAGGTAAAAGAGAGCAATCTCAACCCGAATGTAGCTAGGGCCACAACTATTGTCATCGAAGGTCCAGATACATCTGGAGATAATGATTATAATGGGCAAGGAACTAACCTAGTCAAAAGCCACTGCTCCCCTCCTGGAGATACCAGCAGTGTTGATTATTTCACCTTAATGCTCATCTTACTCTTCTTTCAGAATTCTCATCTTGGAAGTTGGACTGAGTATGTACGTTCTAAGAACTCATTAGCATGGGCCAATGGTACAATTTATACATACATGTTGATCAAGTGATTGATTAATGTCTCCCTGGCATGATATCTGGAAGATGTGACAGAGAATGAATAGATGGGCATATGAAAGCTTAATTTCTCCAAAAAATAAAATAAACCATGAAGGTTTGGAATAAGAGAGAGTATGAGGCTCAAATCTTGTTGAGACAAGGTTCACTAACTTTCTTCCAGTAATTTATTTTTAACCCTTTAAATACTACACATGCAGATGTGAGGGTAATGAAGTTATGTTGCTGGGGCCCTGTGGAACTTCCATTTTTTTTTATTACATTTACTTTTTTTATTAATCACAGGCAAAAAGTCGATAAGCGATTACTTGTGAGCGTGCCGACTATGAGAAAGCTCAGCTTTTGGCATTAGCTTATTATCCATAATTTGTTATGTTTTGTCAACTGATGATACCCAGAAACTCGGTCTTACATGTGCATGTAGCTAGAACAAGCAGCATTCCATGTAGTTAAAATACAGATATATTGTTACAAACAAAATTTGATGTAGTGATTTACACAAAAAAGACTGCACACTTCCACAATTGAAACAAAAGCCCCAATGGTGCAATCAAGGACCAAGGGTGGCAAAGTCCCTTATTAAATCAATATGAAAATCTTTTGAGCACTTCAAAATTTGGGTTGCTCAAATTTGTTATTTTAACACCAATAAAATATTGGTGACCCAATGGTTCATTTTGGTGAAAAACAAAACAAAACTCAAGATATAATATTTCAAGTTAATCTTTTTATTAGTAAATGTTTGTATTTCAGAAGGATGAATTAAGATGAGGCTGTACTGAGAATCATCAATAATACCATAGCCTAGCTGTAGTATAATGAGTAATATTATACATGATTAAAAAAAAAAAGTAAAATTATAACACATTAATACAGGTAGTGTTTTTTTGCAGGTGATATAAGAGACAACAAACTGTAACTCAGCTAGTAACAAGCTCACCCGCTGCTGCTGTTTTTCATGCAATTCATTAATGTTTATATTCATTGCCTAGAGCAGGAGTCCTCAAACTCTGGCCCCCCAGATGTTGCTGACCTACAACTCCCATGATTCTTTGAATTACATAGATAGCCAGAGAATTATGGGAGTTGTATTTCAGCAACATCTGGGGGGCTGGAGTTTGAGGACCCCTGGTCTAGAGACACTAAGTATGTGAATATGCCAATTTCTTATAAGAAGTGTATTTAAAAGCAGGTAGTTACAACAAGTAAGGGTTTTCTAGGGTAATTTTGTCATCACACCTCTTCACTAAGTAGCTTACACCACTGGCTCCAAAACAGGAGTGAAGACTACTTAAAACTATAAATGTATATCTTTTGTGTGCTGATTCCATCTATAGTGGGAGAAGCAGGACAAAAAGAAATTAAACATTTTCATTTAGACAACCGTATTTATTAAATTGTTTATCTTTTATTTAGCTTAAAGGGAAACTCCAGTGCCAGGAAAACAATCCGTTTTCCTTGCACTACAGGTGCCCTCTGCCTCCCAACCCCCAATCCCCAGTTGCTGAAGGGGTGAAAACCCCACAAGTAAATTACCAGAGGCAGCGACGATGTCCCATGTCACTGCTTCTCCCTCTGCCACCGCTCCTCCTCTGTAATACGTCGGCCGGTGGACGAGACTGATCCCGCCCACTGGCTGGGGAGACCTAATGCGCATGCGCGGCAATGCAGCGCATGCGCATTAGCGCTCCCCATAGGAAAGCATTGAAAATGCATTTCAATGCTTTCCTATGGGGAAATGAGCAACGCTGGAGGTCCTCACACAGCGTGAGGATGTCCAGCGATGCTCTAGCACAGGTTTCCTGTGCTATGATCCAGGAAGTGCCCTCTAGTGGCTGTCTAGTAGACAGTCACTAGAGGAGGCGTTAACCCTGCAAGGTAATTATTGCAGTTTATAAAAAACTGCAATAATTACAGTTGCAGGGTTAAGAGTAGTGGGAGTTGGCACCCAGACCACTCCAATGGGCAGAAGTGGTCTGGGTGCCTGGAGTGTCCCCTTAATCCTACATTATGTAAATATAAGAAGAAAAGTCAGGAACATGTTATTTAAAAACAAGATCTCCATTGACTAATATTTTAAATCGGAAAGTTCTGAGCACTTAGCATTGGTACTGGAGCTGTTTCTTCTTGAGTTAACTTCGCCTTGGTTGCCAGGATAAACACGAAGTGTTGAGCATCTAGAAGCGAACTTTCTGCTTTTCTCTCAAGAGCTTCAAAACATTCTATTGTGTAACCTTCATCAGTTAGAGCCTGGCGTAAAAAAGGCTCATCTGCTGTCAAAACGTGGCACCTGTGTTCACCGACCTGATAAAAAGTGGCGTTTAAAGCCCCAAATAATATAAGGTGACCTCCAGGTTTCAGGAAAGAGGATAATTTTCCCAGATTTTGGCGATAGCTTTCATGGTCTTTGCTCACCACGTCTAAACCCCCCACAATAAGCAGGCAGTCAGCTTTTGGTAGAATCACAGGATCTGTAATATTTTCCTTTGCAAGGTCACATTTCACTATGTGTTTAATAGTCTTTTTTAGCATATGTTCTTGTTCCAGCCAGTGAACTCTGCAAAATACAAATAAAACACTGATGAAACAATAAAATTGTTAGGAAATTGACTTCCCAGTTACTTGTCCTACATGGAGAAATGATAGCATATTTTTTAGACTAGGTATGCTCTAATTTTGTTTTTTATCAGCTAGAATATGCATTTGCCAGTGCCATGCCTCAATAATCTCACAAAGTCCTCAAAGGGCCATTCTGTTTAAATACTGTCGCGCAGAGATGGAAGAAGAAAGAGAGATAGAGAAAAATGTCTTAATCCAGACAAATACAAATTGTAAATTCTGTGTTGAAAAAGTTAGGTATTACTGAGCTATATTAAACATATGTAGTTTACATTTTACATTTAAAGTAGACTTTTACATTATAGCTTTTATGAGATTAACAGTGTTAACAATTTGCAGGACATTTGACATATACTCAACCTGTTGCCTCCCAACTCTGTTATGAACTGTGATGCATGAGACCAATCAAACGCTTCCGTTTCCGTGTTCAGCCATTTTTCCATTTCCTTGACACATTCCTCATTAAATTCTAATATAATGATGTTTTTAAAAAACGTGCAGATTGGTAACAGATGATGAATGATTGGGCCCAGAGTGACATCAATCAAGGTGTCCCCACCAATAAGACCTGTAGAAGAAAATCCAAAATTAGCAAAAAATTATTATATATTTTATTTTATTCAATATGTATACTGGCACGTGTTTTCTAGGCTAGGAAAAAGGCTGAATTTTGGAATTGTATATGTATTAGATGATAAAAATCTATCTGCATACCCCTGCATTCATTCTTCTGATTGGTTGCTCCTTTTGAGTATTATTAATTATGTGCTAATATAGTTGTTTTTGTACAAAGTGCAGGACTCAAATGTAAAGTAATATACATTTCCACAATGGCAAACTCATTTATTTATTTTTGTTAAATTACTTATAAAGAAAAACAAACAGATAATGGGATACTCACAGCCTACCGTGTGTTTTAGTGATAATTCTGTCCATCAAAATGGCTAACAGTGACTAATCAAAGCTGTCTACCCACCAGCACAGACACAGAAAACATGCAGTGACATGCACTGTTACACTCACAATAATATACACACAATGACACGCACACTAGGGCAGAGTATGCACACACTTTGATATACACAGTTAGACAAAGTATATACACAATGACAAACATTTAGACAACAGTATGCATACAGTGCAATACACACAGTTAGACAATGACCCACTGCTATACAAATACTCATTCGGACAGTATACATACGTTCTGCAACACTTACACGATGCCACACAGGCAGTCAGACACATTGTAAGTATTTTATTACTGATTTAGAGAATATTCCCCTTCCAAATGTTTTTTTCTCTATCACTCCCTAAGATGTTAAGTAATATCAGATGACACAGTGTGCTGTGATGTCACGCACATATAATTAATAATGCAAAGTAGTATAGCTCTTTTTCTTTGCAACTGATCAATATTTAATGTATCAAACAGCAGATAATTAAAAAAAATATTATGGGTGTATTTTTTTTCAAAAGAAATGTACTCCCCCACATTTGAATTCATTGCTGACTGAAAGGCAGCCCCGTGGAAAGTCTGTGGGCACCTTGTCTGTACCCAACATTCTTCTGTTACCAATGTTTAAATTAGAACTTTGATTTTAGGATTGACCGTGGTAGCACACCCATTAACAAAACTATCCTGAGATCAAAAGGTTGGCAGATCACGACTTGATTAAAGGATGTTTGTAAAATCAATCATGCTCATGAAACATAACATTACAATGATACATATACTTACTGTACCTGAGAGCAATGCTTTGTGCATCTGTTTCATTGGAAACATCAATGTCTCTTCTTGTAGTGACTTGTCCGTGTTCAGGGAGAAAAATGTATCAAGAAATACTCTTGACTTAAAGCCAGGCTCCTGGTATAGCTTAGATGAACCAACATCCATCTTGCCGGTCTGCTGTCACTGAGCTATGGGCTACTGACTGGATTTAGCTGTGTCTCTTTAAATACTGTGCTATTGATTAAACTCATTTTTTTTTTCATGACGTGCAAATATTTACCAGCCAATAATAGCTTACACAAATGGATGTTTCACACATTTCTAGCTGTTAATGTTTTTTTATTCAAAACATCTGAGACCTTTCCTATGGGAATATATATAATATTTAAAATCTCTCTCTCTCTCTCTCTCTCTCTCTCTCTCTCTCTCTCTCTCTCAGTATCTCACAAAAGTGAGTACACCCCTTACATGTTTGTAAATATTTTGCTATATCTTTTCATGTGACAACACTGACACTCTGCTACAATGTAAAGTAGTAAGTGTACAACCTGTATAACCGTGTAAATTTGCTGTCCCCTCAAAATAACTGGGATTTGCTGTCCCCTCAAATGTCCAAATTGGGCCCAAAGTGTCAATATTTTGTGTGGCCACCATTATTTTCCAACACTTCCTTAACCCTCATGGGCATGGAGTTCCCCAGAGCTTCACAGGTTGCCACTGGAGTCCTCTTCCACTCCTCCATGACAACATCACTGGGCTGGTGGATGTTAAGGACCTTGTGCTCCCCTACCTTCCATTCTAGGATGCCCCACAGATGCTCAATAGGACCTAGGTCTGGAAGCATGCTTGTCCAGACCAAACTGATGCAGTGTGCAACGTATGGTAGAAGCACTGACAGGTAGTGATGTCCCGGACGGTTCGCCGGCGAATACTTGATAGCTAGGCTAGTGTATTCAGTGTCCACTACAGTCCTGAAGGACTCATCTTATCTCTCTGACCTAACTACCCACCACACCCTCAGCCTCACTACCCCCACACCACCCCCAGCCTCACTACCGCCTCACCACCCCCAGCCTCACTACCCCCACACCACCCTCAGCTCTCACTACCCCCACACCCTCACTACCGCCTCACCACCCCCAGCCTCACTACTCCCCACACCACCCTCAGCCTCACTACCCCCACACACCCTCAGCCTCACTACCCCCACCACCCTCAGCATCACCACGCCCCACACCACCTGCTCTACACCTACCCCCACACCCCCTCAGCCTCACTCACCCCCAAAACCCTCAGCATCACCACCCCCCACACCACCCTCAGCCTCACTACCCCCCACACCCTCAGCCTCATTACCCCCCACACCACTGTTCTAGATAATTTACTGCAAACCAATTAGTTTGAATGACTATCTGTTCCTGTCCAAATTAAAGATAATAAAGTTGCGTGCACGCAGAAGTAAATTCACACTGAGACACAAGGTTCAGGGTAATGAAAGAACTTCAGAGAAGTTTAATGGCTTCTGACAGAAAATGGGTGCGCAGACCCTTATAAAGGCATTATTACATCATTGAAGAAAATCAAGATATAGACAAATAGACATTGTTAATTGGCTTAGGTGCTAAGATGTTAGTAAAATGCCCTCCCCATTCTTAGGTCACTATCTACGTAATTTCTTAACTCCTACAGGTTTTAGCGCCATTTTGTTAAAATGAGGAGCTCACTCGACGGGAGGGGCCTTTTGGCAGCTATCCATTTGGAGCGTAGCTGGCACTTGTTAGTTTCTCAAGGTTAAGTTTCAAGGATTTTAGTAAATACACATTTTATCAAAGCTATTTCTTGCTGACATGCAAATTCTATGTTCTATAGACAAAGCTTCCTTGTAAAACTATGGGGGCCTCTTAGAGGTATAGCAAGAGGATTTAAAGGGGCCTTACAGATTTATAGAGGCCTAATAATTCTACAACAGTCCCCCCTAAAATGTTATTTGCTAAAAGACAAAACTTTATTTGTTAGTATCAGAAGAAGTATTAGCCCAAAGACACAGAAACCCCATGACCGCTGACTTAGTGTTAATGCAAAGTGCAAGTCTATCCCTCTCTTGACCCTAACAGGCTGCAGCACATCCGTCAGTACGGTTCAGGAACACTCTTCACTCCGCTGGTAACCCATAGTGGCTTATCCACTACTTCTCCGTACGGCAGTCTACCCATAAAGACGGACGCTGTCCCTGTACTGTCCCTTCCTAGACTTTCTGCACTTCATCAGTATAAGGGAGAGTTTGTAGCGGAATACAGGGTGAGATGAGGTCTTGATCATCGATTGTCAGATGAGTGAAGGTTGGTGTTGCTTGGTCTACAGTTTTCTGCAGGAATTTCTTTAGGCATGGGAGGACACAACAAATGAGAAGAGCGAGAATAAAAAAGAAAAATTAGTAAGGCAATACCAATCTGGACTAAAGCTCTCTGCCAACCAGTCATCCAACCAAACCATTTTTCCCAGGGATCAGTAACTCCAGAGTTTCTCTTTAACTCTTCATAGAGTCTATTTAATTTAGCTATGGCCAGAGTGACTTTACCATTAGGACCTGTGTTTTCTGGAATGTAAGTGCAACAAGTCATAGTGTCGGGAAGTATTTTACAGACCCCCCCTTTTTCGGCTAAGATCATGTCTAAGGCCAGTCTGTTCTGGAAGGTCATTTGGGATGTGGCCTGTAATTGCTCGGCCAAGCCCTGGAGGGCATCCCTGGTGTAGTTCACGAAGCGCTGTTGGTTGTAATAGATATAATTAATCCAATTAAGGTTTTTGTTGGCAGTGACTATGGTAAAAAGTGATTCAAAACCTACAGCTACTTCATCTCTAGCTTTAAATTCATTAGGTACCCCCTAGGCACCCCAATGGCATCTATGTAAATGTGGGGGTCAAAACTGCCTTTTACTGGGGTTTCGCGCCTTACTCTGGCTGATGTATGTGGAGGGTCGTATGTGTCATGATGATTATCAGAAATAATATGAATGGGCATGATAACTTTGGCCAGGGTACACTCACCCCACCACTCAGTTTCCAGCCTAGATCTTAACTGTAGATCCCCACATAACCAGTAAATATCCCCCAATGACCTGGTATGGTGTTGCAACAGGCGTATAGGAACAGTTCTGTAAGTGGCGCAATAACCTTTAGAAAAGTTACCCATGAATTTACCAATCCCGTCATACATGGCATAACAAGTGTAATTACCTCTATAGACTGTGACTCCATCTGGTGGCTTAACATTTTCAACTAAGAGAGGGTATTCTGCCGTCCATGCCATGCAGAGGGACCTATTAAAGTCATATTGGTAGGCAAAAAGGCTTAAGAAGCAATCTTCTATCTCTAAAGGGAGAGTTAGGGGGACGGTGCCAAGGTGGGGTCGGGCACCGCCACATACATAACATGCTGTTTTATTATGTTTGTTAGCATTATACCTCATCCATTCTAACCACAAATTAATGTCATTGAATCCAGTTTCAGCGGCCATGGTATCTTCAAAAGTGGGGTTAGCGATGGCCATCATATCTTTAAAGGACTGGATATGTGGTTTTAGCGGATTTGGGACCATATGATCAGCCCCTTGCCACTCTGGAGAGTGGGACATATCTCTGAGGTAGAAATGACCTAATTTGTTGTAGGAACCTTTCTTCCAATACATTCCCATTACATATCGGTCTGCATCCTCGGGGCCAGGATGTTCAATATTTAACATTAATTTCATAGGGGTACTTCCTCCAGGCTTTCTTAAAGTCATTCTTTGAAGGAGGGATCTACCCTGATTGTCTATCTTAGATAAAGCACTTTTGGGTTTATAACCCCAGGCAGGCCCAGTATTCCATCCCGCAGCCCCCCAGTAGTTACAGTCATAACCCCATTGTTCATCTACTACACAAACGTAAGGGTCTTTTGCTTGTGGTATATCTTTATAAATGGCTTGAATCTGTGACTTAGGGAATGGGCACTCTACAATATCACAGTAATCAAAAGTGAATGTAGCCACATGGGTACATGATGAATTATACCAGAAAGTGTACCCACTAGCATCTTTGGTGATGGCCACCTGCTGGGCTTTAAGGAGGCCAACTAAGGAGATAATGTACCAGAGGCACATGGTTGCATAGAGTTAGCTTCCTCTGGGGCAGGTGTCTTCTTGCAGTGGGAAGCGTGGATCCAGTTAGGCCTTCCGGCCAATTTGACAGAGGTAGGGGAGATCAGGAGAACTTGGAACGGTCCGTCAAATCTTGGTTCCAGGGTGTGTTTTCGCACAAATTTCTTGACCAGAACCCAGTCACCGGGGAGCAGACTGTGGTTGCCTGTGTCAGAATCAGGATCTGGAATTTTAGAGAAAACTTGGACATGGATTTTGTTCAAAGCATTTGCGAGTTCAGTTACATAATCTACTAAAACATCAGTATGAAGTTGTAATTGCTGGGGAAAATAGCAACCTAGCCTGGGTGCTGACCCGAATAGAATCTCGTAAGGGGACAATGAGGGCTTCCCTCTAGGTGTATGTCTGACACTAAACAGGGCTATTGGCAAGCTTTCGGGCCAGGGCATTTTTGTTTCTTGCGACATTTTTAGCATTCTAGTTTTCAGGGTGCCATTCATACGCTCCACCTTACCACTGCTTTGTGGGTGATAAGGTGTGTGGAAGGCAAGGGTCACTCCTAGGGCGGCCCAAATCTCTTTGGTTACTGATGCTGTGAAAGCTGGGCCTTGGTCACTTTCAATGACTTCTGGTAATCCAAACCTACATACAATTTCTGTAAGTAGCCGTCTTGCTGTTGTTTTTGCGGTGATGTTAACCACTGGGTAGGCTTCTGGCCAGCCTGAGAACATGTCTACTATTACTAGTGCATATTCGAAGTTGCCACTCTTTGGCATCTGGATGTGGTCTATCTGAATTCTTTGAAACGGGTACATGGGCTTGGCCAAGTGTTTTGGAGGGACTTTAGTCATTTTCCCCGGCTTGCACTTGGCGCAGATGACACACGTTTTGCAGTAATTGCTGGCTAGCGTGGTAATTCCAGGGGCCTCATAGTACTTCTGTACAAGGGCAATCATCAAATCTTTTGATAGGTGTGCAGGGCCATGTGCCCACTGAACAACTGCTGGGTATAGATTCTTAGGAAGGC